TTAGTAATGAAGCTTGTATCTGAAGATTGTTTGCGAAAGCTAGAGAGAATTGCATTTTGCTGATGGAAATAGTAGAATGAACAACTAACCTGAATGTCAAATCCCTTTAATGAATTGCCAACAGTTATATAACCTGTTGGAAAGTGCCGAGTGCTGGACTCAAAGTTTCGGTGACAAGAGTTCAAATCCCGGTAGCCTCAAGTATTAAAAAAAATTCCTTTACTGAATTGATTGATATGGTCTATGATGCATTCCTTGTTGGAAACTAACTTCCCTTTTATTCTAGTTTTTCATGTGTAAATTCTGATGCTGGTTGGTGTTGATCAATGGATGACAACATTGTTGTTTAAAGTTTTCTAGTAATTCAATTTTTGTTTTGGGGGATCATTCCTTTTAAAAATATGGGTGTTCTGCTTTTGCAGACAACGTAGACTTGGGCACTGCTTGCGGCAAATATTTCAGAGTGTGCTGCCTCAGCATTATTGACCCTGGTATATGCAATGGTGTTGGTAGCATGTTGAATTTACATACTCTATAGCTGTATACTGTTCTGATTGTGGTTATATCTTGTGTTTTTCAGGTGACTCTGATATTATCAAGAGCATGCCCGATGATCGCTAAGCTATGGAGATGACATAACTACCTAGGTTTGTTGTGATTTAGTTTCTGTTTTTGGGTATCTTGAAACATTGATGTTAAAGATAACTTACTCCGACATTCAAAACTTTCATTGTAGCTCATCTGGATGTTTGATGTGGGATGCTGATGTTATGGGCCCATTTTCTAGGGATTTTGTGAGTGGATTTCGTTTAAGATCATTACTTTTACCATATTTTTCTTGTATTTCTATTTTTTAATCTGCTTGTTGGATCTCGCTTACCATCCATTTACTCATTTATAAAGGCAGTTCGATTTTAAGTCAACTAATAGATTGCAAATATAATAAAATTTATTTATATTTGATTTTATATTTGAAAGTGTAATGAAATAAAATGTTTACAAACAATTTGTTAACATATTCGATTTTTTTTTTTATGTTCGATTGTTAAATTTAATAAACAATCATGAAAAATATTTTAGGGTTCGTTATTTTTCCGTTCAAGAACCCTAATCCTTTATGGGAAGCGAAATTCATTTGTCATTCATTGTGACAAGATTTGAACTGGGCTGCACATTAATGGGGTTTTCAGCCCATACAATGATTTGGGCCAATGAACGTTTTCTGAGCTAAGTTTAACCTAGCTTTATGTCTCGTTGGGGTTTGGAATGGTTGGTGTATTTCGTGCTTATTCGTTCAACCTAAAGCTTGGCTGTCAACTCCAATAACACAGTGAACAGGTTGATAAGTATGAACTTTCCAAACTGTTAGTCAAGACAATCCATGATCTGCATAAAGAAAAAAAAAATGTCAATTATTGAACCAAACAAATTTGTGGTCGGTTTGGCTCCATTGTCGCACTTTGTACATCCTAATTCATGAATCACCAATCCGAACTAGAGAATTCTAGCATTGATAGATGTCTATCTTCTTAGAAACATATTGTAAAACAAGTATATGTGTATATGCATATACTTGTGTATTTATGATTTTAGAAATAAAAGATAAAATGTATGTATTCGTGCATATGCGCGCGTACTTATGATTTCAGAAACAAAAGAGGCAAGAGCATTGCTCTAGCCTATGTCTCGATTTGTGATCACCTCCCAAGTGCAATAAACCTGATGCTAAGCTCAGTGGGGTTTTCCTTCTATTTGCTAGCTTCCATGTGAATTTGGCAACAACCATGTGTAAGTGACAGGCATAGATTCCTTTGCAGTGACCCACGTACCCAAGTACCGAAAACAACAAAATAAGTCCAAAACCTCATTAGTTGGCATAAAAAAAGGCTTCAGGATTTGAAAAACTCAGTGGACTCGACTTATTTGATGTCATTAACATTAACTTTTAATCCTTTTGCTTTTAGCCTTTCATTTCCTCCTTTATTTTCTTTCCATTTGTTCACCTCTTTTTAACCCGATTTTCAGTATATTCATCAACTTTTCTTGGCACAAAAAAGAGCCCTGCTATCTGTATGTTTCCTGTATTACCTACCACCATAATTATGCAGCTTTTTTAAACAGCTGCAACCTTAAAATTGACAACCTTTCCAAGCTGGCCCTAGTGGTCTGTAACTAAAATGGTTGGAAAGTTTGAAGAGTGCTGCTCCACTGTCAATTTGATTTTGCACATCAGGCAAAAGGTTAATTAAAAGAAACAGTTTTATGTTCTGTGAAGAAAAAAGGGTTTCATTATGTTTTGGCATTCAATTGCTTGATATCTTAGGATGGAATCAGTAGCTTAACAGGTTGGTATCCAGTGAGGCTGCCAAATACTAATTTTTCCTAAGAAACCCAACTGTGTATTTACTTGCTAGATGAAGATGTTTAATTTCCCTGGCCTGTAACAATTGACCACCAACCATATTCTATTCTATCATCAATCTGCAAAATTCAATTGTCATTGGCATTTGTCATTTCCTTGTGCCCCTGTTGCATCAAGATCAAGCTACCTATATATCTACAAATCTGTGCCATTTCATCTCTATTATCATAAATAGTTATGAACCTGTTATCTATTTCTGTACGAAGCTTTGTAAATGTAACTAACAGACATTTAAGAGTCTAATACAAAGGAATTACATTAAGACATGTCTTAATAGCAAGTTGTCAGAGATTTGCTGGTCTGAAGATGGCAAAGATTCCACTGACAGTAAATAATATAAGTTGTTGCTTTCCTCCTCTGATTCTGCTACACATTCCTGGTAAAATTTAAAAATAACTATGATTTTAAAGTTCAAACTATGTTGAATTCTTAGTTCCATTAAACATGGTTCAAATTCATGCAATTTTAAATAATAAAAAAAAAAACTATGGTTTCTTTTATATTGTGTTACTATTTTTTTTATCACATCCTTGATCTTCTTCAAATGCATTTTTAACCTCTTTGCTTTACTTTTTCTGGTAACCAATTTAGTTTATCAAAGTCAATGGTGAAATAATATAAAATTTAACCTTTTTTTACCTTTTCATGTGGGTTGCAACTTGCAACATGCTAGCAAATTATTAGATCCAGAAAAAGTTTAAGGGAAACCTACAAGACAGTTATTACAATATAAAAAATAATAGATTAGAGCTTAAGATTATAATAAATTAAACTGAAAAGTATATAAAATCTTATATATTTCTTTGGGAAATGTTGGTTGGAATCTGGTATGAACTTCTCAAAGCATTTTCCTATGAAAAGTTTCTGAAACTGAAAATATTTATGAAAATTCAAGAATATAGTTGTTTGATGCTTGAAATATTATGAGAAAAAAATTTCCTAAAACAAAATGGTAAATTACTTACTTACATATTATCTTTAACACCAAAAAAATATTGAATTTGAACTTAATCATGATAAAAAAAACTTGGATGGATCATAATGATACATTTACAATGAAATATATTATGGTACAGATTTGTAGGGTCCATAAAATAAAATGGGCATTGATAACTACTTAGGAGAGTTGATGGTGGGTCCAAAAAACATTGATGTTTATGAATTTTATCCTTATATTCATTCTCTAGATCTATCCTTTGCAATGAAAATTCACCAAAAAAAAAAACAATAAATTTTTAATAATTATATATCATGTCTTCAAAATGAAAAATTAAACTCTTTTAGTGAGAGGAATTTAAATTTAATTAAATGTTCTAAAATTTTCATATTACATCAACCTAAATTTAATTAAACTTAAATTGGTAGGATTGTTCTCTTTGACATAAGTAATTTTAAGTTTGAGTCCAACCGGTGACCTCTTGTTAAGGTAATCTTGAATGCATAATTTATAATTATTATTTTTTAGATTATTAGATACGATATATTTTATTTTGATTTAAAAATTGGATAATCTACTTACTCCTGAATTTTTACATAAAAAAAGTTAAAATTTAAGTAATATTAGAATGGCCAGGATTTATTTCTAAATTTTTTTTATGGACATTTGTTCTTAATTTTATTCATATTTTGGAAGATTCATTCACTAAGACATTATTAAACATGTGATTTTGTCTTGGCTTGATATGTCACTTTCCCAAAGCCAAATAAAAAAGAAATAAACATTAATCTAAATTGAATTTCATCTGCAATAGTGAGCTGCCTGACTCACTTTCAAGTGAATACAGTTGAGCTCATGGCCACTTAGCTTTCACCTGCTCTATGTTATGTGTTTTAAACTACTATACTATATAGTATATATCAAAGGAGTAAAGATCAAATTCAACCTGTTAATAATAATAATAATAATAAAAAAAATGTTAGGGACAAGTCAACATAACTCAAACTATAATATAAAGTTTATAACATCGAGAGTAGAGACAATACTAAATAAATGTTTTTATATTTGTAGCCAAAATATTATAATGTTTTTTCAAATAAAAACCTTGTAGGAACTAAAAAAAAATTATGAATCTATAGTAAAAACGATTGGATCTGCAGTGCCATCCTTTCTTAAAGCAAGAATTGACATTCTAACTAACGGGGACTTACCCCTCCCAATAATTTATTACATGGTTTTTGGTGTGGACTGTCAAGTTGGCATTTCCATTTTAGCTTGGATTATTAAGAAATTGTTAAATATATCTATAAATCAATCTCTTTTCCTTTTATTTTTTCTTTTTTTAGATTAAAAAGATAATTCATCTCCATACATGAGAGTTCGAAATCTGTTAAATATGAATTTGGATATATATATATATAGATATATGTATATATATATATATATTTCATGTTTCAAACTTTTGAACCCATAGTTGATGAGGTCCAATGTCAAACTTGGCCATTAAAAACTAAGTGCTTGTAGTATTCTATAGTGCATTAGTCAAATCCCTTAAAGTAGTCTTAAGAGGCAACTAGGAGTGTTTCTAAAAGTAGTTATAAAAAGAAGATGCTCTTCTTATTTATCTTTCCATTGTAACAAGCTTTTTTAATTCTCTCCACTTTATTCTCTCCCAACCAAAACCCCCTGAAAATGCTTCTTTTCCTATGACACTTTTATCATCATCCTGCACATAAAAAAAAAAAAAACAAAAATCCTTACTTTAATGAAAAAATCAGGATGGTGGATTTGATGCTATATGATGATACATGATAATTAATCTTTCTGAAGTTTCCAGTAGGAACCAGCTGTTTTTTTGATCAAATGCTAGCACAGTACCCTTACAAGATGAGATATGATGGCACAAAGACTTTCAGTTTCAGATTTTTTCCTTGTCAAAAACAATATGTTTTGAATCTATATGAAGTTACAAGATACCGAAAAATTTGTGTTTTTAATGGGCTGAAAAACCTTAATGAGGAAAACTTGCAGTAGAGAGAGAAAGGGTAGAAGTGGGGACCACAGTCCAGAGAGTGATAGATGGGCCATTGTTTTCCAAATGCCCTTTTGGCTTTTGCATGGAAGTAACCGGCCATTGTAATCTTCTTACAAAAAACACACAAACCTTCATCAGATTCGCCTTCTCTTTCCCTCTCTGATGACTGTTTAGACGGCTCATCTGTGACTGTCTCTCTTAAAAGCTTAACCCTTTTTTCTTTACTTGTTTATAGAGGGGAAAGCTCTACTCTGCTCTCTCTTCTTTAACTTGTTTCTATGATCCTCTCTTCTTCTATATGAACACGACTCTGGTATCAAATCCAAGCTTTTCTTTTCTATTTTATCTCTTTGATTAACATATATCAAGGTTTCCATCAGTCATTTGTATTCCTTTTTTCTTTTATTCTTATCAATTTGCTGTTTTCTTCTTCAAGATAACTGCTTTTACTACCAATTGCTCGATTTGGCTCTGATTGATTTTTTCTTTTTTTAAATCTTTGCAAGATGAGTTTTTGATTGGTTTCCTTATCTGGGTTTTCTCTTTCATTAATTTGTAAGCTTTTTTATTGTCAAAAGATTGATGCTTTTTCATGAATTTTGCTTCTAACTGTTATTTTGTTGTTGCCCTTTTTTCAGGGTGAATCTAACCTTATTACTGTGTTCTGGGTTTTTAATTTGGTTCTCTTCTGCTGCAATTTTGAGCCACTCAAGTTGGGTTTTCTTCTATTCAAGGTATTTTCATCTTTCCTTCTCTCTTTGAGATTTGCTTTTATTTTATGTTTCACAGCTTTGACAAGCAAAGATGGAACTTTTGGGATATAGAAATGACTTTTTGGGAAATGTTTTGAGTTGAAGAGAAGTTAATCATGTTAAGATTATATTGTTTGATCGCTATTGTTGGTATAATTATACTGTTTTGTATTGAAAGATGCACACGTGAATATCCACATAGATTCCCTACCTTCCCTTTTTGGGTTTCCTATTCTGCCTTAAAATTTTGAGCTTTGCAGCTTTTTGTTTTTTATTTTGCTTCTTCATTATGTTGCTTTGTGCTGAAAAATTAAAGATAGCTGAGCATTCTTTAATCATACTTGCTCTTTAACTTTTACTCAAAGGTTGTGGGTTTATTTTAGGTTTTGAGTCCAAGATTGTACTTCAAATATTTTCCCATCCAATGTTCATTCACTTGCTTTCTCTTGCTCTATTAGCTTAAATTGTGAACTGGTATTCTCTTTTCTTCTTGTTAATGTCGGTGTTTATTGTTCCATGTTCTTCTAGCATTATCTTTTGCCTTAACTTTCTGTCTTCCCCTCACCCAAATTTGTTTGGTTAAGTAATCTATAGTACTAGTTGTTAATCAATGATTTTTAGCATCAAGCTTCCCATTGTATGATTTGTGAAATCCACTGGATATTATTGCACATCTAAAACCTTAAATCTGCAATCTTATATTTGGACAGCTTTTTAATTAAATACTGAAGATGCATTTATTTGGATATTCACATGTGAATATCCAAGATGCTCGGCTGGAACAAATCTTGGAGTCTCGGCATTCAGTCTTAATTTGAATTTTGAATTAAATGGACACTTTCTGTATTTATCTTTGAAATTTTAATTTTGAGTCCATTTTTTCTTGAGTTTGTTTTAACGTTTCTTTATTATGTGCTTCAATAACAGTAGCTTTGATTTTGGATAGGTTTAGCTTAGTATTTTCTATTAGATCTTGGAAATGCAATCTTGGTTCTGGAAAACATGCTTCCAAACTATTGCAACATGTTTTTAGATGTTTATTTGATGTGCATGAGCTGGTTTATTTCAGGAGAATCCTTATGTCCTGATTGCTTGTTAAGAGGAGTATCTGTCTGTAGAGGATAGAAATATGGGGGCCTCTGGCTCTAAAATAGAAGAGGATAAGGCCCTGCAGTTATGTCGTGAAAGGAAGAAGTTTGTTCGTCAGGCACTTGATGGCAGATGCTCACTGGCTGCTGCTCATTTTGCATATATTGAGACACTAAAAAGTACAGGAACTGCTCTTAGGAAGTTTGTTGAGCTTGAAGCTCCAGCTGTTTCTTCCCTTTACACTTCAACTAATGCTACACCGGAGCCCCTAGCTTTAACTGAGAAATCTCTTTCCCAGTTTTCATACTCTTCTCCATCTTTCTCTCAACGTGTAGATGCAACTGAAACATTTTCTCCATCACCTTCTCCTCCTACTTCCAGTCATTTTCAGGCAAACCATATGAAATTTGGGGCTATTTCTTCAAAAAAAGTTGAAGAGAAACCCCCTCTACCTGATATCAGATTGGTAACCTCATTAAGTACTCCACAGAATACCACACCTCGTTCCACTGAAAAACCAGAATCATCACCGTTTGAAGCTTCTTCTTTTCCCTCAGGAACTCCACAATGGGATTTCTTTGGTCTTTGGCATCCTATTGACCATCAATTGTCATTTCAAGAAGGGAAGGAATTGAACCAAGGGTCTGAAACTGTTGATCATTTAAGACAACTTAGGGAAGAGGAGGGTCTTCCTGAGCTGGAAGATGAAGAGGGGGTGTCTTTACATGAAAGAGAAGAAACTCAGGCTTCAGAAGATGAATTCGATGATGAGCCTCCCACAGATTCTCTAGTTCGAAGTTTTGAAAACCTGAATAGAGTAAATGACCATAACGTAGGCAAAGCATCATCAATGGTCCCTCCTGCTGGTAGTGTAGCTTCAGAAACTGACTTCCTCAATGGGGAAAAGAGCAATTCTCCTGATTTGTCGCCATTAGGAGGTACACCCTCCAGTGTTTCTATTCTAACTGAAATAAAGAAAACACCTGTCAAAGAAGATGATTCTGAAAACAAGGTTGCCGCTAAAGACTTCCCTTCTGTTATGAAAGACATTGAGTTCCTCTTTATAAAAGCTTCTGAATCTGGGAAAGAAGTTCCTAGGATGCTTGAAGCTAATAAGTTGCATTTCCGTCCTATTTTTCCAGGAAGAGAAGGTGAGATCCAGACTCACTTCCTTTCTCACTCTCATATGCATGCCCTTCCGCACACACATAGAGAACAGCTTTCTAGTATGTTTGATGTCTCATAAGGATTGGCAGCTATGCTCAATTAAGAACTGGTGTATGTTAATGTTAGTGAGGAGGGGCATGATGGTATTTTGCAGTTTTTTATATTGGTTTTCTTTTATCTGCATTAGCAATTAAAGAATGAATTGGATTGAATGCATTTGGATGTATTGTAACCTTGATATGTGAAAATTTGGTAAAGTAATTTTGAATTTATGGAGATTTGGGAGAAATTTCCATTTTATTCAGTTTCATTGAAGGACCTTGGGGAATAGTTGAGATTTCTTACATTGATCTGAGTTGGTGAAAGCTATTGTTAACAGAACTTTCTACCATTCAGGTGGATTGACAATATCCACGTTCTTCAGAGCCTGTTTCTCTTGTGGAGAAGATCCTAGCCAAGTTAAAGAAGGTAAATCTCCATAACCCATTATAGCTTAGATATAAGTCATGACAGTGTTGAAGCATTTTGAGCTCCCTTAAAGTGTAGTGCCATGCACTTTTTTTTCTAATGAAATACATGTCTTGATAGTGAGTCGGTATGTTGTGCACCAAATGGCATATGCTTGGCAGATAAAGCTATGAGCAAAGTTAACCAAAGGATATATCATTATATCTTGAAATTACAGTGTAACGTGGGAAGAGAGGATGAATAATATTAATTGTTTGAAGAAAAAAATTAAAATGAAAGAATGATAAAATGACTTACAATATGTGTGATTGCCTTGAAATCTTTTCATGAAACCATTGCATGATGAAACTTTAGTAGTTGGAAGTGACTGCTTTGCCAACTTTTTAAAGTGAGACCGTAAGACCGTGGGATGCTTTTTTTTTTTTTTCTAATGCATATATTTTACTACAAAATACTTGCAAGTTACAGTTATGCATTTAATGGTGCAGCAAGTAGAGGAAAGTGGAGTTATATTAATGGATAAGCAGGAAATTTCACATATTTAAGGCAATAGTGTTATCAAATCCTTTTATGGGGAATATAATTAATATGGTATTATAGGTGCTTAATCTAATATGTTTCTAATATACCGTCCTTGTTATCATAAACAATGAATGAGCGATAAAAACATGCAGGTGGCAACTGTGGTAGCATCTTAATATCAGCAAACTTATTCAATTTAAAATGTATATAGTGAGATCTATTGCAAATGTTTTATGATGGGTACCTTCTTAATGATTGTAGTTTATTTTTCAGTTTTGATTCCTTTGTTAATCCTTTCTTATCTTTACTTAGACCCTCCTCAAACTGGTGTAAAATACTTGACATGGCATAGGACAACATCGTCTCGATCATCTTCATCTGGGAATCCTCTGGGATTAAACTCAAAGGATGATGTTGAGGACCTTAGCAACAATCTTTTCTCTAATACCTGCATGATTTCAGGCAGTGATGCCTCAACCTTGGATAGATTGTATGCATGGGAGAGGAAGCTTTACGATGAAGTAAAGGTATTATTTGTTTTTTTTTCTGTTGCTTTTCTTTTCCTTTAAAGATTTGCAGAGAAGTTTTTGTTTCTGGTTATATGCCTTCTGTTTAGACCTTTTGAGTCCAGCTTAGTCGAAATAGGATATTCCAAGATAAGTTCAATGTTTTGGAGGTTAAATGGACTAGGAATTGAAGTGATTGTGTTGAAGAATGTGGTTGCTTAGTACTGGTTTTGTGGTTCTGTGCTACTTATGTTTCTGCTGTTAAAAGATTACCATTAAAAAGTGAACCCTTTCAAGAATATAACTTCAAATCCCTGGAAAATGAATGCTTTTGTAGTTGGTCCTATGTTTCCAGAGTTTGCCTATATGTGGAACGTATATTGTCTTGGGTTCAGAGTTAGATTTCAAATAGTTTACTCCTCCTTGAGTCTAGTGGTGACTTGTTTGAAGTTGTTTCTCAAAGTTGAAAGTTCTCCAATTTTGCACCTGTAAGTTTTTGAAGTTTTGATGTTATCTAGTCAAGCAGTGATTTGATTGGAGGCATTAAAATTTATGATTAATGAAAGCTTATAATTTTGTAATTTCTCATAACCTCAGGCCAGTGAGTTAATCCGAAGTGAGTATGACTTGAAGTGTAAAATCTTAAGACAGATGGAGTCAAGGGGAGAGAGTTCAAGCAAAATTGACAAGACTCGAGCTGTTATCAAGGATTTGCACTCCAGAATTAGAGTTGCAATCCACAGAATTCACTCAATATCAAAAAGGATTGAGGAATTACGGGACAATGAGCTGCAGCCACAACTTGAGGAGTTGATTGAAGGGTATGTTTGTATTAATGCTTTTCCTCCAACAATTATATCCCCATCATATAAGTACAGTAAGGAACCGCTTGTCATATGCTATGCTTTATTCCCCCCCCCCCTTTCCTGTTGCCTTCTGTTTTTTACCTCTTCCATGCTTGCAGGGGAGGAGAAATAATTCTCTTTTATTCTCTCAGAACAAGATGGGCCACTTTTCCATGAACCATAAAATGACAATTATACGCATAAATTTCTTCGTCTATAATGATTTTATTTGCCATTTCTGCCATACTTTTACTGACTAAAATAGTTTTGCTTGTGCTCATATCTGAAACATTCTTCTTCTAGATCATCCGTTTCACTTGTTGTGCCAACACAGGTTGAGTCGAATGTGGGAAGTGATGTCTGAATGTCACAGGCGTCAGTTTGAAATTATCTCTGTGGCAAACAAGATTGGCAACATGAAAATCTCTGTACTGTCTGAATCACATTGGCAGATCACTGCTCATCTTGAAGATGAGCTAAGGTCGCTCTCTTCAAGTTTTGCAAAGTGGTTTGGTGCCCAGAAAGCTTATCTAAAGGCCATAAACAGTTGGCTCGAGAAATGTGTTCCTATTGGAGAAAAATCTTTAAAGAGATCTAAGAGAAAAAACGATGACCCCCAAGTTGTTTTGAGAATACTTGGCCCTCCAATATATGTAACATGTGGTGTTTGGTACGACAATCTTGATAATTTGGAGCCAGCTCTAAAGAATGTCTCGGACTCCATTAAATGTTTGGCAGCTGATACATCTGGCTTTATACCACAACAAGAAAAGGAGGGGAAGAATGCCAGTCGTCCGTATTCAGCATCTGGGAAGGATGACAACGGTGATTCTGCAATTAATATTTCCAGAGATGAGGCTATGAAAGAGAGGATGTCAGCATCAAGGAAAGATGACAACATCAGTGATTCTGCATATAACATGTTCAGAAATGATGCTTTGAAGGATTCTTTTGGGACAAGCTTAGTTTGCTTTCTTGGACAATTGAAGAGTTTTGCAGAAGAATCCGTGAAGATGTATGCAGAACTTGACAAGGAAATTCAAGACGCTAAGCGTAGGTATGATATGCTTGTTCAAGGAGCTGAGATTGGAAATGATGAAAGCAATGTTCAGAGCAACGATCAAAGCAATAACCAAAGCAGCAGCGGTAATCCAAGCGGCGATCCATCTAAGGATCAACTGAAATCATAAGTGTAAAATTATTCTATCTGGAAAAGAGTTGCTCTACAGAAGACAGACATAAATTTGTCAAGCATTCGTGGCAATTGCGTTTAAGAAAAATCTGTCAAATGAAGCATTTCACATATGATGCTGCATTTTTATATCGAGATCAGAATAAAGGGATATATGGTAGATATCCTTCTTTTACATTCAGTAAGTCAATAAAGAAGCTCAGCTTTTGTAAAATGGATTCCATAAACGGGGTGATCTGTAGGCCATAGCTGTATGTAGAGGTATGAAATAAAACTTGTATAGTCACTTTCTTTGATATATTTTCACCCGTATATTCTCATTTTGGTTGAAGTATCCATGGTAAGGCAGTGAGCAGTAGCTTCTGCTTCTGAAAACTGGAAAATTTGTTTGAAAATCTTCTGGATAGAAAAGTCCAAAGCCCTCAACATCAGAACAAAACCTCACTTTCTCAGTTTTATATGGGTTCTGTTTGGGTTCAGATTGTTCATAAAAGATGAAGGTCTAATCAAGTTTTCTTTGAAATCTCAGGCAATCTGAACCCAAACTGACAATAAGGTTAGGTATTAGATGGTGACTTAAAACCATTTTAGTTTAAATCTCCTTTCTATTTCTTGCCTTCTGCCATTAATGAATACCTTTTTTTTCACTGTTGGAACTGGTCCAAGTTGTGACCAATTCCTGAGCTTATGAAAAACGAAATTATTTTCCTAAACATTTCACTTTCTTGGAATGATTCTTGTGAGTATGGGTCTAGAAGTCGTACATTTTCATGCAAATTGTGCAATAACAATTATTGGATCATTGAATGAACGATGAATTTAACAAGCAAATAGCAACCACCACTAATATACTTGTCTAAGAAATCATTTGTCAAGCATTTTACTTAATCCAAAAACAATGATTTCTAATCCTTGAACTGGTCTATGAAGGGCATCGAAATCGTTTTAGTCGGTCAAAGCTGATAGAATCGAAATCATATTGAATCTGGACTTAGTTTTACATCTCAAGTTTTATATAAACTTGATTTTTTTGATGATTTTAGGAATGTATTTCTCACATTAATATGATATATTGAAATTAGAAGTGATATCGATTTGTATCAAATTGTATTTAATTTTATTTTTTTGAATAATATATAATATTATAAATTTTAAAATTTAATCTGAACATATTAATCACAACTAATGACATATTAATCACAAAACGTTAAAAAAGAAAACTATATTCATGAAGCACTATCTCCACGACCAAACACTCCAACTTTTCAACCGTACTCCAAACGCTACCAAATGTCTACTCCATAATCACACTTCTTTGACACAATCTTGGACGCCGCCGTTAAATTGTCCACCGTTATCTTACACGTCACTTTAACGGTTATCCTCCACGTCTTAATGGATCCCACTTTAATCTTAACTGGCGCTCTCAGCTTCAAAGTAAAAGGCACCGCTCCTTTGTTTTGCTCATCGGAAAGCGTCGTAAGCGCGGCGTTGGTTAGTTCGATACCGGAGCCCTTTAAAGCCATTTGAAACACCGTTACGTTATTCGTTGGCTGGTAAAAAGCCGGCAACGCGCCGTTACCGATGTTAATGTCTTCGTAGTAAACTATGACGGAGCTGCCCTTCTCGTAGTAAATACCGATTTTATCGTTGGGGTTGTGTGCCCGGACAGTGACGTCGAATTCTGGCGAGAGCGGAGAAGATGACGTCAGGTTGAACCCGTTGATGGCCACGCTCTCCACGGAGTATTTTGGGGACTCAGGCTTGAAAACGAAGTAGACCACGGCGGCAACAATACCGGCGGCGAGGAGTTGAACAAGGATGCTGATCAACAAGCAGAAACAGCATCGGCGGCAGGTGCTCCGCCGAGCCTTACGTTTTGACAGATGAGCGTAGCGGCGTGCGTTCTCCGGCGGAGGGACGCGGTAGATTTGGTCCTTGGGGACTTGGATGACGTAAGTTCCAGGTTGTGGAACAGGTTTCTCTGGCGACGGAGGTGCTGGTTTTGGCATCGAGTGTTCATTGGTGGCAGGTGGGGAGTCACTCGGGTGGACTCGTTCGGCCATCGTGCTGTTAACTCAGTGGCTCACTACAAAAAGAAAACGGGAGAAACCAGCGTGTTAGTGTCTAAGAGAGTACCAAAGCCCGGGTATGCGTAAATCCTTGGCCCTGTCTTGTCTTGTCGTGTCCTGTCCTGGCAACATTGGAAAAACTGAAACTATAACGGTGGAAGAACATACCTGGAAAAACTGAAACTTTCAGAAAACAAAAAGATGGGTTCTTCAAGAATCGAAGAGAAATCCAAAACAATCTTTTGCTTTTGTTTTCTCGATACTGGCTATGGCTGTTGGGAGACGAAGAAAAAGAAGAACGAGTCTGAAGAGTTCACATATAGAATGAGTGAATGACTAAAGCAAAGGGCTTGGTCACATAAATATATACTATGGAAATGACAGTTCAGACACTGATTGTCAAGAAATTAGAACTCAATTGAAGAACTAATCAGCTTTTAAAAATGCGAAAATGTCAACTAACTGCCTCGTTCGGGAGCCTGGTTGTCCATTGCGTTTTTTTTGTTGCTTATCCCTTTGTCCGCGTGGGAAAATTGAAATTGGGGCCGGTTGGAACTGGGCCCTTTTCCATTTTTCTTTTGGCGTATAATTACCATCTTAACTGGTTTTGTCACAACATTTTCCTTTAGCCTGATTTTGATGTCCACCCAATAAGATTTTTTTGTTATATATATATATATATATATATATATGTTTGATATATAAAATTATAATAAAATATGATAAAATGATATTATAAATAAAATAAATTAAATAATATTATTTTATCTTATGTTTATTCTGTACAATGATTAAAATAAAATAATTTATTTATTAATCAAAATTATTTTTACTCAAAATTATATAATTTAAATTATTAATATAAAATTTAAAAATATAATAAGATATGTAAATTTAATCTTATGAATTAACTTTATTTTGAAAAAATTAAATTATTTTATATCAAAAAAATAATTAATCATTTTTGTAATTTTATTTTTTAAAATATAAATAAATATAACATAATATAATTATTATATTATTATATTCATCATTTTATATACCAAACATAACTTATATAACTCTCATCGATTTAAAAATAAATGTTTTAATCATAAAATACATCTTATGCGATGGGAACAATGCAATCGAATTCTCAAATGAAGACTTAAATCATTAGCCCACCACCTCTCTCTCCCTCTTTTCTTAACCCGTGTTGCAATTTTCTTAAAAATTCAACAAACAAAGTAACACTATTATAATGCAAAACAACGCTAGTAAAACACGAGGAGAAAGATCAATAATAAATTGGCAATTTCACTTTGTCAGCAACAAATGAAACATGAGACAGATCTACAATTTTTAAAACCTTCTTTTTAGGGGGTTGATTTGCAGAATTAATCATGGGATTTACATTTGGACATTCCTTGATAGTTCTTAATAACAATTTATTCTTTGGATTCTGATATTTTACTCAGAATGAATGATATTGTCACTTTCATTAGGAAAGTATGTACTAAATTGATGTTGTGTATAATTTGGATCGTTTCAAATAAAATATATTTAAAATTAATACGATTTAAAATATATAAAAATGAAACAAAAATTATACAAAAAATATAAAATCATATATTAGTGTGATAAAAAATATATTTTGTAAATTATGATATAATAATTTTTATATTTTATATGAAATTGATAAACCCAAATATACAAATTATCAAAATAATTTGTTTTTGTCTTTACTATCAGCTATAATTATAATCCAGCCACAGTTGATTGAAACCATTTTGGGACATTATGGAAGCAGAAGCCTTGGATTTGAAGTTTGAACACTAACCTTTGAGGGCTAATTACTGATCATGTTTCCAATTTTGAAAAGTGAACAGCCTAAAGCACCATGACCACAAATCCAAAAGTCCCCACATGTTCAAACATGATAGCCTGGAACGATGTTTTTCATCAGGCCTCCCTAGTCCCAAACAGAACCCTTCAAAAAAATGCAATGGCTGCCAGAGAAACGGAATCAAACCTACCATGTTTGACCCAATAAAGAGAGGGTGAAAAGGCAGCTCCAAGAACTCTATGTTCTGCCTTTGAAATTGTGAAGGGGTGTAAAATTTCCATTCCCACATGTTTCTTTGGATGCATACCAAGTGAACCAATCTGCACCACCTAAAGATTTACAGTTGTTTTAGAGATTGCTGAGCCTTTGAAGACTTTGGTTGTTAAATTTCCACCCACATGCAGATCCCCAGAAACCATGTCATGGTACTCAAGGGCTTTTAATAATGTCCCCCGTTGTTCATTATACGGTTCATACTCCATGTTCGATACAGGTATATTCAATTTTATTATAATTTACGCTTTGGAGAATGTCATTGCCAATGCATGACCAAACCTACATGGAGTATGAATATACAGAGCCAAATTTATATATAATGCAACCAAGGATGAGTGGTACAATATACATAGACAGACACAATTGCTCACTTCAGAAAAAGAGAAGGTAAACTAGCATGACATAAGAGAAGTTACTGTAGGCTGATAAAATGGGAATACCTTCAGTTGATCAAGGCTAAGATCTAGCTCTGACAAGATTTTTGCGCTGTCTTGCAAAAGAGCTTCTGGTAGTGATCCGGACAACTGGTTGTTTCCAAGCCAATGAATCCTCAAAGAGACTATAAAATTGAAGGAAGGTATAGTTCCCACTAACTGATTATTACTAGCATAAAAACTTCTGAACTGTCAAAATAAGGCATTCATGAGCAAAGAGCTCTCGGACCAACAAATTTTGGCTTATATTTAAATACTGAATGGAAGAAACAAAACTGGAGCTCCCTAGTCCCATGTCCAGTGAACCAGATAACTGATTGCTGCTCAGGTCCACATGAACCACACTTTCCAATTGGGACAGAAAGTTATGATATCCCCAGAAATCTACATATTTCAACCTCTTAAGACTGCTAAAACCAGAGGGAAATGTGCCTTCAAAATTATTTGAAGAAAGATTCAGAAGTACCAAATGTTTTAATTTGACAATGTCTGATGGTATTGTAACCCCATGAAAAGGTATTACTTGAGACTTGAGAGGTCCAAAAACTCAAGAGATGGGATAGAGCCAATCTTTGACATGGTCCCTGTCCACTGGTTACTTGAAATAGAAATATTCCTAAGCATTTTAAGACCAACAATGACAGGGAAACTCCAGTTTCCAACCAAACCTAACTCATTTAGAGTAACTGAATTCACATGACCATCAATGACTCCAAACCAATTCTTGGGACACCATCTGATGCCAGGGACTTGGAGTCCCATGAAGCAAGAACTTTACCAGAAGGGTCTTTCTCAATGTCTTTCTTTAGCTCCAAAAGTGCTTCAAAATGTGCTAATGCAGTTACCAGTAAAAAGACTAAATTGAATCTCTGCATTCCTTCAATCAGTCACCTACCCCCACAAATCGCAGTGAATATATCAGAATGGGACCGATAAGAACTCAACTATAGAGAACTGCTACACCAAATTGCAACGCTTGAATGAGGTAGAAGACTACACATGAATATAGCATCCAGATTTTGCATCTTTATTTAACACTAGGAGAGAATTCAACTAATCTTTGGTCAAGCAATCGGATACTTGTAAAAACACAATGAAAGAAGCAGTGAAAGATGCTTCCTTTAAACTAATCTAGGCGGCTAATAAGCTTCAAAACCCATGTCCACTGAGATAAACAGAAACCAAATCAAGTGAAAACAAGCTCAAATGCACCAGAAAAAAAGATCCTACATTTCCACACCAAGGAGCTGATAAGGGAGAAGATAATGCTTAGCAACAAGTAAAGAAGAAACAAACTGGGAAAAAGGGTTTCTTTATAAAGGAAGAGACCGTCAAAGATGCAAGAAAGACCAGAGACAGAGAAACCCGAATGAAAGTGAGTTAAGGGAGGTGAGAGAGTGAGGATCAGAGTGTTCGGTGATGTTTGTTTTGAATGTGGTAATAAATTGCAGATACATTTAAAGAAGAAGAACACCAGAACAGAACATGTGAATTGTTTTTTGGTGTTGAATAGCCGTTAAATCTAATAATTAAAGCATAAAACCATAGCAACATGCAATGAGTAGTAGTTAGGTTGAGCTGGTGCCTTGGCCCTTGGCGCATGGGTACCCTTGAAATGGGCTAAAGTTTTCGAGCCCATACCAATTAGGACAGTAATGAAACAAATGGGAGTCCTAATTGCTATGGGCTAGAAAACTATAGCCCATTTCAATGGTTTCCATTCCCTCACAGCCCACATTCAGCTAATCTGCCACAAAAACCCATTTAAATTTATCAAAAAACTGAATTACTTTTCAGAAATTTGTATTGTTAAGCCCAAGTTTGGACTGATGTGAACCTAACCCAACCATATTGGGTCAGGAAACGAATCAAAAAAACCCAAAGCAGAGCAGAGATTGTTAAAGTTGGAAGAAACCTAGAAAATAATACAATAGAAACCAAAAAAAAAAATGTCATGTTATAAGACAAACAAACTTTGCACTTTCTTCCTCTTCTTCTTGTCAAGTGGACTACCATTTTCTTGGCTCTTATTTTGTTGTCGTGAGAATTTAGATAAATTCTTCCCAGTACATAATTTGATACTTGAATCATTTTAAGCTTATCCAAAAGTTTGTGTTTTGTTTAAGAAAATAAGAATTAGAATCCATAAATGATTTTGCTTTATAACAAAGATTGTAGTCAAGAAACAAGTTAAGAGATTATAGATATTTTGATTTAAATTTTAAATTTATTGAATATCATCTCTTAAAATTAGAGTGATGGTTTGAATTATAATAGATTCGATTCAATTTTTTTGAATAATATATAAAATTATGATGTTTTTAAATTTTGATTTGAATTTAAATCGAACTTTTATATGATCTGAATAAAAATAAATTGAATTTTATTTATTTTATAAATTTTTTAGAAATATATAAAAATTAATAAAAATATATAATTTTTTACTTGATTTAAAAATAAATTCGAATCTAATATATATACATTTAATTTTAAAATTGAATAAATAAATAAATTAAATCAAATCGAATTAAATATTATAATTTTGATTCGATTTTTTATTTTTTATTTTTTTATTTAAAATATTTATACGGATCAATTGAATTAAAATTTATATTTAATTATTATTATTTTTTTTTTCATGTTAGATTAAAAGGACGATGCTTTATTAGTTGAGCAAAGTCTCCAAGGTGACCCAGCAATTATTTCAGCTATGCCGAAAGTTATATTGTAGCGTTCAATGGGACTTTACTCACTATTATCCTAGCTTAGACAGTGACATCCTTAAATGAAACAAACATCCTCAGCCAAACCTGCTTAACTGCCGGTGAAACAATTGGAATCCAAGTAAAATTTTATTTTCAAATGAAGTTTTACCTTTAGATGGAGGGCCTGTGTTTCATTGGATGCCATAGTTGTACTTTCACCACAAAGTATAAACAGAAACCTTGTCCCTTCATTACTTTAATACTTTTATTTAAATGGTTTATAATCAATAGCTTAGATTAAATTTTAAGATTTAGTTTTAATATTTTTCGTCTTATATCTTATATTAGATTAAATTTTTTTTATATATAAAAAGCACAATTTAAAGATAAAAAAATATTATATGTATTAAAAATTTAAATTTAAATTTATTAAATATCATATTTTAAGAATGGGTATATGATTCAATTAATTTGTTTGTAAATAACAAAAATATTTTTTAACTCAAATTTTTTTTTTGGTCAGAACTCAAACTTGTTAAAGCTATTGATATCTTTTGTACTTTTATAAAGTTTAATTTTTGAAAAAAAAAATTATAAGAAAATTTGTATTAAATTAATAACAATGACAGTATAACACATGATTTTGTAAACACTAGACATTGAAAAAAAGTCATAAACTTTTAATGTTCTTTAGCCCAAGGGTAACAAATGTTCCAAAATTATAATTCAATATTTATTTAATGCTTTAATATTTTATTTCAACTCAATTAAATCTTTAAATGAATAAAATTTAATTACGTAACAAAATTTAATCAATCAACGCTTGGACTATAATTAATTAAACTCTTAAAAGGATTTTAAAGAAAAGAGAAAATAATAGAAAAAATGAAAATATTTTATTTTATTTTTATATATATTAATTACACTACATGGTAATTTTTAATTGATTATATTGATATGATGTGAAATTTAATTTTAATTGAAAAAATAATGATATTAATTTTTTCATCTAAATAAAATATTTAATTAAATGTAAATAAATGTTTAAGAAGTGAATTCATTGTAATAAAAAATAAGAAATTAAATAATTTTTTAAATTATAGTTCACATGCTTTTTTCAACCTTTTAGCCTTTTCTTTATGAAAGAAATTTTTGAAGGTTCTAAAGGATTAAATAAATGGTTTTGTAGACACAAGTCCGAGAAAGGGCAAGTGAGTTTACCTTTTTGTGCACACTTATGCAGACCTTAAAGGATTAGATTAATATTTAAAATGTCGATTGTGCATCACTTATAGCGTTACCAATATACTTATTTTTTTTTTGTACTTAGATTTGTTTTACTATCTATTTGATATTTAAGATTAAAAATTTCTTTTCATATCATGAAATAAAAATTTAACTATTTTTTTTAATACGAAAAATAATTATTTATATATTTAACTAATTTTCACTATTTAAAAATATTTATAATTATCTTATAAAATCAAGAATAAATAATATATATTTATTTAGGTATTAGTGAAAATATTAAACTAAAAATGTCAAGTCATGATCATGAATATACATATAAACTCAAAACTGTCTAAAAATAATCGACATGAAAATACAGCCGTTTCAACATTGATCTATTATGGTAGGTTGAAGACTTAATTGTGGTGTCAACAGTTAGCTCAAAGAAAAAAACTTTAAAAATCAGAATAGTCAACGAGCTCACGAAATTCTCGTAATTCAGATCATGAGATCACATCACCATGAAACCTGAAACACATGTTTCATGTCAAATATCTAATTATTACGCGTGTTGTATCTCAACCCCATTTTATAAGTTACTTTGTTTACATTCAATGCATTGAAAACTTGGTGTTTTTGTTTTGATGGATTTGATTGATGATTGTTTTGCTATGAGAATGGAAAATTTTTGGTTGCAGACTGCACTGGAACACAGCCTATAGAAATGCCTGCCAGAAATGCTGATTCAGATGCAAATGTGTTCTTCCAGGGACTTATGGCAACTAGGAAAGGAAGTTTGCCCCTGTTAGAATATCTGGAAGACCAAGAGGAGTGGCCCTAAATGCCCATGAAAATGAAAAGATTGCTCTGGTTATTTCCATGTTTTTTTTATTGGCAATTTGGCATTTTGCAGCTACAACCAAATCCTTCTTTTATTTTCTGTCTAAAACTGCTCATAATTTCTTTTCAAGTACAAATCAGTAAACGAGGGTCACATTTCCATTCTTTTGTCTTTTTGTTTTTTACTTTTTCTTCTTCCTCTTGTCTTATAGAATTATTACCTTGGCCATACCATGACAAAAGGATCAGTCTGTTATAGATAAACATGATAAATTCTCAAGAAATTTAGGAAATAATACCATGGCAAAAACTCTTAATCATCCAAATCAAGCAAAATATAAAAAGCTTTAAGGTGGTCGCCTTCAGAATAATAAAAGGAAAAAAAAAAGAAGAAAATTTAGGAATTAATCATTGGAACTTTGAAATCTTATCATCAATGCAGAAGAAAATGGCAAATCCAATTTGACAATTCAATTCCAATTTATGAAAAATACCATCTTTCAGGACAGAACTGCTAAAACTGGAACCTTATTTTCTTGAACAAATTAACCTGGATATAATCGGAAACCTGGTTTGAATTGTAATCCAATATTGCTGCAATTCACCTCTTTTTGATATTCATATTGCAACACATTTGATCCCAATTACTGCATTACTTAGTCGACATAAGAGTGTCAAAGGAAAAAAAATTATAATTAAAACTCCAAAATAGCTAAAACATCAGCTGCAGGAACCAATAAAAGCAGCACACACACCATAGTGCCAACAGGTGTTGATCAGATCCTCTGGCCAAAAATCTTTTGTTTTTTGTTTTTTTGGTGTGTCCTTAAATGAAATCTTTATTGTGTGGTTGGATTTTTTTTCTCCTGAAATGGGACCACGGAAATGATAAGTTCCAAACTTTAGAACAAGCCAAGATAGCTGGATGAAACTTAGTCGTCCTTGAACAGACCCCACCACACACTCAGACAAAAACAGAGCAGTTCCATCTTCCATGATAAAGTGAACCTAGTCAAATTTAGGCATTTTGTACCAGTAACTGCAGTGGGCCTAGCTCACATGGGAACGACCAACAAGATGCATTAAAAGACAACAGTTTCGATTCAACACACCCGTCCACTATGTAACCATTACAGGACAAAACACTCACAATCGGATTACTATGCAACATGATAATGGTTGTAGAAACAGATTAAAAGTAACAATGACGGGAAAAAAACCACAAAGACAATACACCTAATTTATTTATGAGACAGTCACATTCTATATAAATCAGTAGCAGGATTGTGAGACTTTCCACGTTTTATTGAAGCCCAAATGAAGACCTGCTAAACTTGCTAACTTCCACAGCTACAGACAGGACGGAAAATACAATAACCAAGTAAAAAAAAGTTTTAGCTAGTGCATGTGTCGCCAGGCCTTGGGGATGTCGGGCATGCCAAGGAGGGGAGTAAGTTAGATTTCCCCCGCAAGAACAAGGTGTGCTTGGTAGCGCTAAGTGGATGGAATACACTTTTGGCCTTGAACTTTGCTACTGGAACCAGATTGGAACATCCTGCTTTGGCATGGTATCCATCCCAACTGCTTGTAGATCTTCCTTATATTCTAAAGAAGACAAATCGAATGGAGACCCAAACATCAACTGGAAGTTATTGTTATTGTGGTTGGTCTCGAACGGAGAATTCAAGCCATTAAACCGGTCAAACTGACCTTCCCCTTGTGGAAACATCTGATTATTATGGGTCATGCTGGAATCCTCGAAGAAGTTTCCCTCCATCATTACTCCTTGACCGCGGAAGAATTCATCCTGTTGCTGTTGGATTTTCGGCTGAAGAAGATTTTGACCTTCTGTAACTGGATTGTTACCGGGATTCTTATTCTTGTTGCATTGAATGTTGTTATCATATATGGACATAAGCTCACTGATCATTTTCTGTCCATCTTCTGGAACTCCAAGTCCTGATAGATCAAATGATGTTGGAGCAGAAATAATAGTTGGTGCAGCTGGATTTGATTGCGCAAAAGGTTGAGGGAAAATAACTGGTTTCACTTCATTAACATTAAAATCCGAACCACCAAACTGTGCAGAGGAGTTTCTATATGGACAAGTCAATTGATGGTTGTCCCTGGCAGTCCTGTCATGAAAACCCAAGCGAAGTTCACCATAAGGACACTGGAGGAACTCACAAGTGTAGATCTTGTGTTCCATCATGTTTAGATCATTGGATGGTTTCCTTTTTCGCATGAAATCCAAATTATTCATAACTTCTCCTTTAAGAGTATAAGGTGGTTGTTGGACGGCCCTCATTCTATCCATGCCCAGAATAGATGAATTGAGATTCTCAGGTTTGCGCTCTTGCACATCAAAGTTTGGCTCATCTTCAGCCCCTTCAACATCATACTCACTGCAGTCATTTATAACAAAAGACCCACTTCCTCCACCTGAGGACAAAGGTAGGCAGGAATCAGGGTAAAGCTCTCGGGCCAAGGCCTCCTCCTGGTTAATGATAGCAAGCCATGTTGCACTTTCCTTTGCTGTCATCTTGTCCTGCAAGCACTTCGACTGCCTTACAAGCTTGCGAATCTTGGCAATATCAGGAGACATATGCTTGATTACTGCAGTAAGAACCCCCACTTTCCAAGCCTTCTTCAAGTCATGAGGTTTCTTATAAGGAGGTGGACCTTGCTCTTTGGACAATCCCAGTTGTGGCCACCATTCCTCATTTCCAGTAGGCCACCATGGTGGGGGAACACCTTTCTCTAAAGGAAATCGCCTCTGAGGAGGATCACAGTGTTGCATCAGTGCAGACAAAAGAGAACCAAGAGTTGTATCTTGAAGTTCTTGCAAGGTGTGTGGTGTTGGGCCGATTGAGTTACAGCCATCATTCTTGCCAGGAATCGAATTATCTGCCTGGTACTTTGCAATAACCGCGGGACCATTACGATCAAACCTGACTTTATCCTTCCACCATTCTCGAAGATTGTCAGATGCCCCAGTTACCGGTTTTCCCTTTTCTGGAATAATCCCATAAACAAAACCTTGAGCCTTACACACTTCCATCATCTTCAACATGTACTTCAATATTCCATCCTGTGCCCTTGACATCTTCTTTCTCCTTGCCTGTTCTTGGGACTGGCGCTGTTTGGCCATATCAATCCCCTCCTTGCCCTTATTCTGTTCTTTACGCCGTTTGAGAAGCATTTTGTCCCTCCACATCCTTCTCTCAAGTTCATCCATATCAATTTCTTCATCAGTATAATCATCCTCCACTGTCGCCTCTGGTTCAGTTTGTGAGGCCGCCACATCTTTTTCCCCAAGGGGAGCACTGAAGAAATCCATATCACCACAAATCCCCATCTCATCAAACATCATCATTATTCCAATATACGAGTCCAAATAAGTCCGAAACTTGAGGAAATCTCTGAGTCAACCAAAGCTTCAAGTTTCTTCTAGTATCTGTTAGCCCTGATAAAACTTCAAATCATCCAATAACCAAGGCCTTTGTTAACCTGTATATAAAAAATAAATTGGTTAAAAGAAACCCTGCAATGGCCATAAAATTTCTTAATAAATAGCACTATCTAACCAGTGAACAGATATAGACAGTCTAACCATAAATTTAACTCAAAAAATATAAAGCATTAAAGACCTGGCTCCAACAATTTAAAATCTACAAGCCAAAGCAACAAAAGCATAAACAAAGATTTTCAATTTCCAACAGAAATAGATTATTAAGTAATCCAAATCGTAGATTTCGCAAAAACAAAAAGAATCTAAGAAAATTGAACAGATCAAACTAGCCTACAAATAATATCAGCTGATAACCTTTAAATTTGAGAGATAAATGTCCAAAATCAATTCTGACTCATAAATCTTAAATTTAGGAACAAAAGAGATTTAGAAAAAGAAAAAAAAAAGGCTCCATCATATGCATGTCAGATCTCCAGACAAACAATTTTTCGAAAATGAAAATCTTCAAATGAAGAAGTTAACGAAAAGATAGAACTAAGCTCAAAATGATAGGATCTAATATAACCAGGACCTCAGCTTTATCAATCAATAATCAAAACCCGTGATAGAAAAGTAGCAAACCCCAAAGAGACAATCAAAATCCAATCAGAAAAGTACTCCAAAATGAAAATAAAAAACTTCAACTTTTTCAATCAGTAATCAAAAACAGAATCAAAGAGGTAGCAAACACCCCAAACCACGCAATCAAAACCACTTCATTTTGGCGAAAAAATATTCAACTTTATCAACAATAATAATAAACCCAAATCAGGAAAAAAAAAACCCCAAACCAGACAATCAAAACGTCAACTTTATCAATCAATAATCAAAACCCAACTCGGAAAATTATCAGAAGAACCAAAACAGACTATCAAACCTCAAACTTATTAATTAAAAAAACCGATATCAGAAAACTAGTACAAAAACCCAAAGAAAGTACTAAAATCAACTCAGCCACAGAGAGATCCACTCAAAACCAAGTCCACAAAGCTTTACCAGCACACAACCTAGATTTTGGCTTACTTCACAAAGCTCACAGAAGTCACTTCTGCAACCCACGGTACACTTTGAGAGGAGAAAAATAAAAAGAAAGAGAAAGAGAAATGGATGGAGAGAGAGAGAGAGAGAGGGAGAGGAAGAGGAAGAAAGAGATGGAATTTTCCACTACCCCGAGAGAGAATTATTGATGAGAGGGTGGCTGCTAGCATCCCCTGTTGGTGATTGTGAAAGGCAATAGATTGGAAGAAAGAGAGAGAGAGAGAGAGAGAGAGAGAGAGAGATTGGGAGAAACGACAGGGGACTTGTAAAAACACTATAAAAAAGTGTAATAAAATAATAAAAATCCAAGTTTTGGGAACGGAGACTATGGATTAAATAGTAAGGAAAATAGAAAGCATTAATTCAATAAAAAAAATTGAATAAAAAAAGGAAACAACAGTGAAAAGAGAGGAAAGTAAATGAAGGTCAGATTAATCCAATCTCATTCTTGGGGTAAACGTTTTTTTCTTTAATTAATAATTAAGACAATGAAAAATGGCAGAGTGGTGAGCGTGTCAAGCCAGGAGGCAGCTGAGCAGTCACCAATTATTTCAGGCCTTTGCTTATGGAAATGCAGGTTACTTGGGGTTGGGAACCTGAGGGGCATTTGTCTACATCCGTTGTTATCTTCTTTCATTAAAGGAGTTACTTTTATTTTATTTAATTTTTTTATTCTTTTTCTTTCTTTTAGCCATGCTGATAAATTAATATGTTCACACTATTATTAATTGAAAACAATTCTTCAATTAATGGATGGTCCATTTCTTTTTAATTTTATTATTTTTTTTATCAATGAAAGAGTTTTGTTTTACTTGAAAAGTTGAAATAAAAAAAAGTTTTTTTTTTTTTGTTTGAAAGGTTAAACAACAAAAAAATGTTGCTATTAATTATATTATAAAAAAATATAATTACCAATAAATTGGTTCAATCGACGAAAAATCATATCTTTTGATGTAAAAATTTTAAATTCAATTTCAATTTATAATTATTTGTTAAAATTATTTCGATAAATTATCGAATATAATATATCTTATTTTAATTTTAAAAATTAAGTAACTTATTTATTGTAGGATTTTTTATACCCAAAAATATATATGTGATTTAGTTTTGCAAATGAAAAAGTGACATTATTTTTAAAATATTATTATTTTGGGAGACATGTCATTCTTTTAATGTAAAAAAAATAATTTTCTCTCATAAAATTTTTCTCTTCAAAAATCTATATTCGTGAAAAAAAAAAAAAGAACTATGTGAAGTATAAGGTTAGAAAATGGTTGAATAAATAATCAAAATCAATCAAAAGAATTGTATTTACATTTTCTTAAATGAGGTTGCCCATCATTTTCTCCACATTAAGAGAAAGAATATAATTTTCATCTCTAGCCCAAATTAAAACCACTGTCCATAGCTAGCCCATGGCACAGGCTCGCCTTAATTGGCTTATTCCTAACCCAACGCCAACCCAAGGCAACAAACATTGAATTGATCAGAATGAATCTCCAAGCCTAAATCAGATCAAGAATACAGGTCAATCATCATGTACATTTGCAACTAATCCATACATATGTCATAACTCTTAATTTAGCTTATAAAATTAAAATTGTTTTGTTATTAATGAAAAAAAAAACTCAAAATTACTAGAAAACAAGTTTAAACTTATGATTGATATCCAAACTCTTATTTGTTGTCATTTGAGCCAAGTCGAAGTGGCAAAAAGCCTAATGCATAAATTAGCTAAGTACTTCTGAAATGGCATCCAATTTTTTTGATTCAATGGCAAAATGCATTAGTTAATCAGTCTAAGTTCTGTTTGTTTGCTGTTAATCCGCAAGCAAGAGCAGCTCTTGGTATTTCACCAACATGTTGAACACCTTCAGCAAAAACAACTCCCATTCCCATATGCAAATGTGGCTCAATGTGACAATGAAATGCCCAAACTCCTGGATTATCAGCAACAAACCTCAATGCAGTCCATCCATATGGGAAGATCACAGCAGTGTTTCTTAATGGTGGGTTCTTCAAGTTAAATTTCTTCTCATCTTCTTCTCTGAACTTCCCTTCTCCATACCCCAACACCCAAAAATTATGACCATGCAAATGCCATGGATGTATTTCACTAACATCCTTTGCTAATGCATTGGCATTTTGAAGTATCACATCAATAGTGGTGTTTAAGTTAATGGTGTAAATCCCATTTCCATAAGTTGAATTGGGGTTCACTGGAGGCTTCATAATATCATAACTGTTATCAATGTTGTCGGGAGGGCTTTTCTGATCAAAAGCATTGTTGAGGCCATATTTAATGGACCCCAAATAAGGAGTTGGAGGCAAAACCAAGGAAACATTGTTGATAGACCACTTGATGGACCCATTGATTCTGTTCTGAGTGTTGAGAAGGATGATCCGACGATGATGAGTTCTTGGTGGCTGAGGGGATCCCATCAGGGCAAATATACTTTTAGTAAACGCTTTGCTGTGATTATAATCATTCCATGGAGGTGTTACAGGGGGTTGAGAGGTAGGGAGTTTTGATGCAGAAGTGGGAAAGTAGTTCAAAATGGTGAGGGCTTGAGGGGTTTTGGGTTCTCTTCCTCTTACACCAACTGAAATCCAATAATTATTGGAGGAGAGTTGGTCTGTTCTTAACAGAACTGAGTAGCTCTCCCCTGAATAAATATCCAAATCATCAACTGCAAATGGTTGCACATAATTTCCATCAGCTTCCACCACCACCATTTTGTGACCCTGCAACAAAATTTTGTTAAACTAGAGAAAAACACTTTGTCAAACAATTTTTTTTGACTAATTTCTTTTATACACATTTCTCTTCTATATTCATCCAATGTGAAATTTTATTTTCACATCCAAATGGCTCTACTAAGGTGGTGGAGATAGCCCAGTGTCCTAGTACATCATGTTAGCAACTTTTCCGCTAATTTTTGTTGGCAGTTTAGAATGTTACTTTAGATCTAGAGTTTGGAAGCAAATCACGTTAAATTACTGTAATATAATTAACTAATTAAAATTTAGTATTTTATAGAATTTATTAAAAATAATATATAAAGTTTATATTTTACTATGATTGGTTAATTGTAAGATTATAGGAAAGAGAATTGTCGGTAAAATGCTCCCAATCTAGAAAGATTTTATATCTCACATTGAATAGAAATAGATTTAATTTTGCATATTAATTTTATTCATATTTTAAATAATTTAAATAACAAAAGAAATATAATTATTTAAATGAATAATTGTGTTTGAATAGAAATAAATGTTTATAATAATTATATAACAAAAAAGTTATAATTATTTAAATGTAAAATGACATGGGCATTCATCAAAATGATATTACTATTTATCAATTATAGATAATTCTTTATGCATAACTTTTTTTTATTACTTTTTCTTGAAAAATTTTAAAAATTTATTGTATCTCAAAGATATAATTATTTTAAAAAACATAATGATGTTCCATTTACATTTTCAAACTTATCCAACTTATATATATACTAGGTTTAATTTTTTCTGAGAGGTTAACCTATTCTTGGATTGGATCTCCTCGTATCAAAATAACATTTTCAATAAATTATATGATTGATGAGAAGAATAAGAATATTACTAGAAACTTAAAGCATATTATAGTTAAAATAATATATGGTAGGTATAGGGAGATAAAAAGGAAAGATGCAATAGGAATAGGAATAGGAATAGGAATAGAAATAGGTATAGGTATAGGAATAGGTATTGTACTCACCTCAATGGCCAAATTGAGTGAAGCTAGAGCAGTGATGCTGGCAATCCTTAACCTGTAAGTTTTGTTCCGACGCACATGCAGGATTTGTGGTGCGCATTGCTCATTTCCTCTAAACTTGCATTGGCTGACAGAAGCATTGCTAAATTTTGCAGCCAATGAACAGTTGAATTGCCCTCTTCCATTAATCAGTAGAGTCTAACCCCAAAGAAAAAACAAACAGGAAACTAAACATGTGAGGTTTTCGTTATTGTAAATGGTCCAAAGATGAAAAGCAGGATGGCAAAAAAAAAAAAAAAGTTTTACAATTATTATTTTACCTACACTCTTGCCTTTATGTTTTTCTTTTATCCCCATTAATTGGAATAAGATGGCAATATGATAATGGAAGTTTTTTTTTTTTTCAAATCAAGTATTGAAACCATGAACTACAATGTTCTGCACTTTGTTTTGTCACTTGGTGTTTGTAATCATCATGGTCGGCATCACATCAGCATCTTTATGATTCTTGTTCTATTTTTATAGCTTAGTGCTGCAATATTGGCAGTTAGATTTGCACTAATTTAGCCAACCAATACCTGGGGTTCACCGATCCAACGGAATGGGTTGGAGGAGAGGCCAACTTCTTGCTCATGAACACTTTGGTGCCACCAATCACTGAACAATAGGTTGAACTCACCATCATAATGGAATGGCTCTTTCTCTTCATCTGCTACGTCCACTATAAGGGACCCATACAAGCCTGCTGATCTTTGCATTCCATAGTGCCCATGATAAATGTATGTTCCAGGCTGTACCATTGAATTTCAACACATTATTTTTCATACCACTGTGTATTATTAATTTAGTATATGCTATAAGCATTCACCAAAAAGATGACTTAAAATAAGTTTGTGTTTCCAACTTGGATCTAATTCTGAAGTTTGAACTTCGTTCATTGAAGGATGAAGATCAGAGCTCCCAGGAAAAGAGAAAAAAGGAGAAAGATTGAGAGATTACCCTGTCAACTGTGAACCTGTATTGAAAAGTTTCTCCAGGGTTGATAGCACATTGTGAAATGGAAGCAGTCCCATCTGCCCATGGTGTTCCAATCTGATGAAAACAACATTTTACAAATTGCAAAGAATTAACCATATATATTCTCGCACTACTTCACATGCAAAGATTCTTCCACAAAATATTAGCGTGGACATCAGAGAGAAAAAGAAAAACCTGTCTTATTCCATGCCAGTGTATGACAACTCCCTCAGTGTGAAGCTTGTTAGTAAGTTCCACAACAACAGTGTCTCCGGCTTTAGCCCTGATGGTCGGCCCTGGAAACTGGCCATTGATACCCATCACAACATGTTCCAAACAATCTTGAGATCTGTAAATGTATTCGACTTCCCATTTGAAATGCCTAGCCTTGGAACCCAATGAAACATGGATCAAAGAAAAAACAAAGCACCAGAAAACAAGAGTCCTGGAGCCCCAAGACTTACAACCCATTTCTCAATATGGAAAACCAGGATATTGAGTCCCCTAGTGGATGGAAGTGATGGAGCTAAACTAGTTGTACTAATACTTCCAAAGCTAGCTAGCCAGCTATATATAGAGGCTCTGAAAGGGTTAGACTTGGGCTTTGAATTTTACTTCTTTAATACTCCTTGGAGCAGTTTTTACATGCAAGTGTGTGGTTACTTGGTAACGTGACCATGGAGGCCTTTGAGCACACAATTCTTTCACATCATGCACTCTTAATGCAAGTTATCGATCTGGTCTGCTCGTCATTTTCGTAAGAGAATTGAGAAGGTTTCCTAGTGAATTTCCCCCAATGATGAATTCGTACAAGAATATCTGCTCACACTTGATGCTAATCAATTGTTCTTTTAAAAAAACGTTAGATCAATTAAACAAGTCAAGAGTTATCAAATCAAATGATAAAAAAAGGGAAATCTACCTGCATCAGGCAAAGCAACCCGTAGATGTAGATCCTGGGTTTTTGCGGTAATAATATCGGGGCTAAAGCAAATTTAATAGTATGCCCAAAGTAACTGGCCTTAAAGGTCAAAACGTTACAACCAATATAACATGTCTTAATTATTTATGACTATCCCTTTGCTTTATTTCTAAGTCGTGTTTCCTGGACACCCTATTGACTTAAAGGATTTTTTAATTGAAAAAATCTCAAGAACCCCAAATTTGATCTAATGTGTATTTAAACTAAGGACAAGATAAAAGATTATAAATATTAAAATGGTAGGTTTGTCCTCCACCTCTTGGTCTAATGGCTAAAGAGGTTTTATGAAGATATAAAAATCTTGGTTTCGAGCTAAGATTCCCTCTCCTTTCCCCATTGTAAGGGGCTATACCCTCCTCTGAACAAAAAAAAAATAGCAAGCTTAGGGTTAACATGCTAATTCAGACTGAGCTTATAGTCAGCAATGTGACAAATAAACATCTTCACATAATATTAGGTAATCAGCTAAGGTAACTGAATTGACATAAAATTTAAAAATTAAAATCATCTCGACGTATCAATTTAGATCAAATTAACAAAATTATCTCAATTTAATTGATGACTCACGTTCTAAGAAAAAATATCTATTTTACTACTTGAACCACAAGATGCCCCTGGTCGAATATTTCTAGTTACTATGTTGATGTTTTTCTCTACAACTTGGTGAAGAATAATTAGAATGTGAATCATGCTGATTCATGAGTCCAAGGCTCAAGAGCTGGTTGCATTCCCACCACCGAATAATATTGTTGTCTTCTGTTTGTTACAACTTTGTGCATAATTTCACGTGCATTAGGCAACTTTTTCCTTCATTTTGTTTTGTTTTGTTTTTTTTTTTTTTTCGGTTGGATGATAAGAGGAGAAAGAGAATTGAATTATCATACAGTTTCACTAATTTTAATGATTAACACTGATTTCTAATAAGTTTTAATTATGATAAATACTACTCAAAACGAGGACTATATATATTTATTGACTGATGCAAAAAGTATTAGAGAAATTAGATGGAGTTACCGATGAACTGTTAGCTCAATGATGATTTCAAATTCAAATCTCAATTGTAATTTAAAAAAAATAAAGGAAATTTACTAAAATTCATTTGCTAATTTTTATGGATTGTCATTAATACTCAAATACACAATCAAATTCATTGCGACAGACATTTTCAATACAGAAACAATCAAATTGTTTTTTGGAATATATCCCAAATAAAATCCATTGAGGAAAAACAGTAACAAAACAAAATTTAGCTAATTAATTATATACTATTATGATTCCACTTTATTTATTCTTCAAAAGATGCCCAAAGAGTAAAGGAATTAAAGAATATGATATTGAAATCAGGAATTTGGCATCAACAATCAAAGTTCTGGTTTTTTTTTTTTTTTTTCAAATGGTTGAAATACACAATTAATGGAAAATAGTCCTCTACCCTTGATCGATAAAAAATTGTTCTTTAAGTGTTTGATGAAATCACCAAAAAAATTTATTATTAGTTAAATATTCAGATCCAATTTTGTTTATCTTTTATTCGCCAGGTTTTTTCATCATTATGAGATTAGTTTAGATTCTTTTTCCTCCACATGTAAAATAAAACAAGCAAAAGTTGGCAGCATCTCTTTTTGGCCTTTTTCCCATAGTGATGATTGATTTCATTCAACACTTGATCATTATGTTTGCTACTTAAAAAAAAAATTTTTTTCTTTGATCAATCCTGGTCATTCCTCACTATATATACGCATTTTATTATATGATGATATTTCTGGTAGCATAATATATATATATATATTATAATTACTATCATTCTATATATATTGTGCAGTTTACTTTTCATTCAATATGTATAAGAAATATATAAACATGGGCAGCATGTTGTCCCAATTATGAATGGTAGAGACTTGAGAAGTTGCTTTAGAGCAAAGTTTTGGAGGAAAATAAAAATGGAAGAAAACCCATGAAGAATCATGCAGGACAACTATACAAAACGAGTTAGAAAACGATTTTATAAACTACTTATTGTTGTTCAAAAACTGGGACAAAAATTGCAGAGACAATAGAAAACTTCCATTCTGCAAAATGCTACACTAGTGGCCCCAAGTAAACTTTACAATATAAATATCAAATACGGTATAATAACATGACATGAACGTATATTTAAGTAGGATATAAAAATGATACGATTTAAAATTTTAACAATAATAACAATAAATAAGTTTAATAAAATTAAAAATATATTTTTTATATTTTTATATTGACATAAATTATGATATAAATATATAAATTTTAATATTTTATACAATATAAATATTCTTGGGCATCATTTGACAACTTTAAATCTTCTTCTCGTTTTTGGTGGTCTGTGACACAACTTGCAATTGCCCAACAGGAACCAGGTTCCCAACTATGAATTAATATTCTTGGGCATTTTTCAATTAAGGAATATTGTTAGTCAACTTTATCTGTAATTGTCAATGATTCCACCTAAAAAAAAAGACATATTGGATTTGTATCTGGCATGTTTGCAATGATTGAAGTTTCCCAAATGTTAAAATATGATTGTTTTAGTTCCTTTTTCATGTTTGACACCATGGATGTCTGACGTGGATATATATGCTATTGCATGTTGCTAAGTAAGTGGCCTTCCCTAAATGAAATACCTACCAAAGTCACAGGATAAAAATTTTAAAAATAGTTTAGTACTTTTAAGAAGTGGGATTTGAACCAACGCACTGGCGCCTTAGATCACTTGGGGAATTCGACTTTCAATAGGCAATTCGAAACTTGCTTTTGTACATCGAGGATTTCTCGTCAATGGAATTATTACATATAAGAAATCAATGCCACAAGCATCATATGAGAACTACTATGGCATTAGTTAGGGCCGATTTGATTAATTTGAATTAAATTATTTTATTTTTTTTTTATTAATCAAGTTAAATTTATTAATTTTAAAAATTAATTGATCGAATTTAATTTGATCAATTCGATTAATTATTTTGATTAATCAAATAATAAATATATTTAAGTTATACTATATTTTAAATTCTTAATTTTTTATATTTTAAATAAATTAATAAAATTATCCAACAAAATATTCGGATACTTAAATATTATGTTAAAAACTCTAATTTATAAAATAAAATAATTCATTTTATATTTTTTTTATTTTATAATTGAATTTTGTTATATTTTATTAAAATTTTGATTAATTAAGTTAATTTGATTTTTAAATCGAATTAATAAAAAATTGATATTATTTTAAAATCACTTTTGTTAATTGATCAAAATTAATTCGATGATTAATTGATTAATCGAATTAAATTAGTTTAACCGATTAATTTAATTAAAACCGAATTATGAACACCCTAATAATATGAATAGGATACCATATCAATAGATGAGAAAAAAGTTCGACTTTTTCTTTTCCGAACAGAAGAAGACCATCAAGCCAACAATCTGGGAATGCCACTTGAAAATTTGTTTAATTACAAGCTGTTTCTGGCTTACATTAAGATCCTAAGAAGGAAGGGCTGATAGTTGATTCAAACTTTTGTACTTTCTGCAAAATGGGATATAGGAAGAGGCTTTGAACTACCTTTATTTATGTTCTATGGATCCAAAAACAGAGTTGCTTGCTTGCATACATTTACAACCTAAACAATGTTTATGTTCAACTTGTCCCTTGCTGCTGCACCTGCGTTACTATAACAATACCATTAGGCATCAATACCACTGGGGCATTTTGCTGGAATGTAGCCTGTGGAATCCAGAGACATTCTAAATGTGACGTGAAACCAGATTGCAAGTAAGCCAAATCAAGGATGCACACCAGACGTAAACTTGTCGCTACCATTACATCAATGCTAGTTGTCTTGAACATCTTGGAAAGAGTAGGATAATTGTGTTACAAATGCTGATACAGTCACGCTGGTATTCAGATTTACAGATTAATTATATTAGGGATTGCATTTGACAAACCCCATTATGCTGTGTGATAATACACTTAAAATCTTGTTAGTACATATCTAATTCAAAGCTTTGCAGCGTCACTCTGTCCTTCACGAACAGTGTGTGTCATAACTTGCAAGCCCCAGCAACTCAGGACCTTCGAGTCGAGGGTTTTTCTCAAAGCTATATAAATTGGAACAATATTAAGATCAGTGATTTCACACAGAGGGAAAACAAAAGAAATAAATAGTTAATAATAAACTTATATGGAGAACAAAAGAAACAAAGGCATAGGCGCATGCCCTACAGAAATATAAATATTAGCAATGTGCCCAATGAGAAAAACACAAATGACAAAGCACATCAATAAGAACAGAATGTTCCATCAAAGAAACCCTTTCAAGCAGAGATAAATTGAAGCTCATAGGTAGATTATCAAATCATATCATATTTACATGGATGTTTTCCATTGATATTAAGTAAACACGTAAAAGAAACAGAGGCTGTACTTGCCCCAGACTCATCACCATGCATTATAGTGTAAAGCACATTGGAACACTTAATAGCATTCTACCAAGACCGTCCATGAATAACTGACACTGGTTGCACAATCATAAAGAATGCCACACACAAGGACTACACTTCTGCTTATCTAAAAGCAGTTAGAAAATCCAGCTTAATATTTTTTACACCAAAGGCTTGAAACTGCATGATGCATCCTTCTCGTTTTAATTTTTAAACACTCCTCAAGCTTTATCCCAGCATCAAAACTAACATTATGAACGTATGGGTGGTTGAAATAGCAAATTCATGATGAATTCCAAGTTACTTTTCCAGTTATGAAAATTTTCCTCTTTTATTCATTGTATTGGTTCAAGAAATCCAGAGAGGTGTAGGAAAGAGAAGTAAACATGGCATGGAATTTTTCAGAATGATTACTTCCACCGATGCAAAAACTCACGAATACAAAGGCTTTAATGATGTATATTTTAAAGAGACTTTTAGTAATTGGGAAAATCAGCAAAAAATATTTGAGAAGAAATGCCAATAACAAGGTATAATTTATCAAATTTATCCAAAGGAAAATGGGGTACAATCTATAAATGCTAGCAACCAAGGTGAATCCAAGATCAATAATCGCACCATAACATGCACATACCACCAACATACTTGTAACCAATCATGATCCATAGCTAAATTTAGAAAAAAGAAGAAGGTCAAGCTTACTTGTTCAGAGGAATGTGCTCAAATGGTCCACTGGTAGGAATTGTTCCACATAAATCATTATTTGAGACATCGCTGGAAGAAAAGAGGTAAAGTTCTAATGACATAAGATTAATATTTCACAAAACAATAGCAGAGAATTATATTTTTGAAAATAAATTACTGGAAAAATTGCAATACTTACACAACTTTGAGGCTTGAAATACCAACAAGTTCCCTAGGGATAGCTCCAGTTAACTTGTTGTCATTAAGCCGCCTGTAAAATGAAACAATGTGAGAAAGACTAGCGATTGGATATTACAACGATACATAAACTAATCCTGAAAGAAAAACAAATGAGAAATGACTAGTATTCCAGTTTGTGACATGAGAATAACTATGAATGGAGCATAGCAGCATCCAAAGAAAACACTAGTAGATAACCAACCATTATCTGCTGCTCATAATTTACTTAAGCCCCTAGATAATCTATTATCTAATCCATCATTGATTTCCAAGTCATGCTGACAAAGGAAAGCAACTGAGAGAAATGAACGACTGATCATAGTCTAATCATGCATGAAGAGACAAACATTGGACTTGAACACTCACAAGAAAACAAGAGACTTCAATTTCCCTAGTGAAGGGGGAATGGTGCCCAAGATGTTGTTGTTATATAGGTCCAAACTGATGAGGCTCTTCAAGTTCCCAAGTTCAGTAGGGATGGTTCCTTGGATGTTATTTTTGTAAAGCTCCCTGCATGAGAGAGAAAAGAGTCGGAAGTGAATAACAATGGTTGCGTATCAACAGTTGTACCCAATACTATAAACCACTTTTAAGTTTTTGACGCATGGTAATAAATATGCTACAAGTAAAGATTTTTGCACAAACAATAAACACATGTAAATATGTTGGGAACTCCAGAATCTGGATAGTAAGGGCGGGAGAGGAAAAATGTTAAAGGAAAAAGAACTTACAGATACTGCAAATGCTCAAGCTTCCCAAGCTCCGGTACCAAATGTCCAGACAGGTTGGAATTACCTAAATCTCTGCAAAAAGAAAGAAAAAAAAAAAAACCATTTGAGATAGCATGGCAAAATCTCATAATACCAGAGGTAGGTAATACAATAAAAAAATGCCATATAAGAATGCTAATGGCACACCTCGTACCAATTAGGAAACTACAAGTAAAATCGTTCTCTCAAAGCCATCAAAAAACATCCAATTGTATCATTTTTATTTCAATCCATCATAAAGGGAAAAAGGAGACCACTATACATAAACATCTCTTATTCACGCAGGCAATTCTAAAGCTTCCATTGACTCAAACACACCTGTGCCAAAGAACTTGTAATAATTCTGCTTATAAAAGGCTCGTGTAATGGAATCGAATCCTCCAAAAGCATAGGAATTAAAACACCATTTAGAATCTAGAACCCTAACTAACGTATGATTAAAGCTTTGCTATAAACTTATAAAGAGTATTATTATGCCAAATCTATCATTATTCCAGATAAAAATACTTTAAAACCACTTTTTTACATATTTGCATTTTAATAACTGCTAATAAGCAAAGTACTAGCTCATCTAATTCAACAGTTACTCATAGAATTCAGGAAAATAAACAAAAAAAATCGATTAAAATAAGCATATATTAACCCCCTCCCCCCAAGAAATACAAGCTTCAGAAAATACAACAGTTTCTCATTGGATATACCCACCATTTTTTCCCTCCAAAACAAACCCATATTGAAAATAAACAATAAATTCAATTAAAGAAACCAAAACCCAATTTAAACCACCAATTCACAAGCTATCATACAATGAAACTAACCCATCTCCAAAGTAAATGAACCCAAAATCATAACCCAGCAACCTTCAAACCCAAAACAAAAGGGAGAGAGAAATCAGCATACACTCTAGTGACTCTATTATCTTGGTTACAAGTGATGTGGAACCAAGTACAAGGGTTAACAAGGGTCGGATCCCAGCTCTGGAACACGTTATCCGGATCCGTTAAGCTTCTTCTCAAAGCGTAAAGAGCATCTACATCCGAGTTTCCGAAGACGGAGGGAATCAGGGTTAGGGATACAGAAAAAGCCCATAGCCAGACCGGTGCCGCCATGGGAGATGTTAGTTTCAGATGCTCTGCTATGGTTAGGTTTCTAAAGGGAATCGGCTTTGAGAATGGCAGAGTAACGGCATTGGTTCCTCTCTGTTATTTTCTTCTCTACGTTTATCCCTTTTACTTCTTTTTCAACGTTTACTTTATCTATTTCAATAGTAAACCTTTCATAGTTATTTTTTTTTTAAATAATTAATGGAGCATCTTATTTTTTAAAGGAAAATGATTTTATAGTTTTGCATCCAATTTTTGAGTTTTAAATTATTAAATTAATAGTACTAATATTAAATAATAAATTAATATTTGTAATTTATTTAGATTTATCTTGAATAAAATTTAAATTCAATTCAATCATTTCAAAATGAGCTTAAATAATTTAATTTATTGAATAAGTCGATTTTAATTTTGAACAACTCTAAATTTTTAAGAGTTGAATTCAAGCATTCTATTGTTTGACTCGAATAAGAACTTAATATAAGTTTTTAATTTTAATAAATTTTATTATTTTAATTAAAAAATTATTTTTTTTTATATATATATTAATTTGAGTTCAAATTTGAATTTAAACATATAATTGAACTTAAAATCGAGTTTATTTTTTATTAAATGAATTTAATTAAACGAATTTGAATAATTTGATTTTTATTTTTGGGTTGAAGTAGATTATTCTTTTTAATCAATCAAAACCTCTTTTTAAATTGCACAAACTGTTTTCAAAGCATACGACTTTTCTTGATGTAGATGATGATATCTATACAGATGGATATATATCATATAATTCTTATATATATTGTACCACATAAGTTGATATATAGGAATCTAAATCTGTCGAACCACTCATGTTATAATCTTCTACATCCTAAGTCTTCCTGTTATCTGATTTATGTTATTCATGTAACATTCAGATCGAATACTTATGTAACATTCAAACCGAATAATTTTATGAAATTACGTCGATACTTTCACATATTGTGAGTAATGTAGGAAACATTTTTATTTTTCTCTTGGAGTATAACTAAAATTAAAATTCAATGGAGCTTAAATCAAGTTTTAGATAATAAATTTTAAGTTTGAGCTCAAATTTTTTATTATATTAATTTAGTTCGACTTAATTACATTCTTATTTTGTATAATTTATTAGAAAAAAATCTTAATTACCTAAGATTCCATTATTCCATGGCTTAAAAATTTTCCATTCTACCAAACACTTGTAGTAAATTAACAAATGTGTTAATAGAATTTAAAATTTAAATAAATTGATCTATACATTTATTTAAAAAATAATATTTAATAAATTTAAATTAAAAATTTAATACATATAACAATTGAATTATATTTATTTGTAATAATCATTGTGACATACAAGAGTTAGTTACCTTTCCTCCTTTTAATCAATTAGGATTTAAATTTTTTTTAAGGAATAATTTAATTATTGTGAAAACATTTTAAAATAAAATTTTAAATGCATTAAAATCAATGTGAGTGATAATTTTTTATATAGCTCGAAAAGCATATTAAGTCCAACCAAAATCGAAATATATCTTTGATTGTATCATTAATAAATAATGATATAAAGCAAAATTTATTACTAAATTAGATATAATGGAAAAATAATGTTTAGGAAACAGAAAATGCGTCAATTAAGGGAAAATGGCATGTTTGACTGATGGAAATGATGCAGAAAATTTCGTAAATTGAAAATTGAAATCTGATTACAGTGAAGCAAAGGGCACTGACATTTATTTTTATTTATTTTTAAATTTTTTGAAATTTGTTCACACCATTTCTGAGTCAGTGAGCCCTTTTTGATTGGTTCATGAGAAACTTCGGCCTGGATACGGTTCATTTTGATCCACAATACCATCGCGTTCACAAACAAGCCCAGCTTTGGGTGATGAGACAATAGCTTGAACAGTTTACGCGCTGAGACCCAAATTACTATTTGCGATATGAAAATAATGCAAAAAAAAATAAAAATAAAAGTAATACGATTTAAAATTTTAATAATAATTATGTATAAAATTAATAAAATTAAAATAATATATTTTATATTTTTATATGATATGAATTATAACATATAATTTTTAATATAAAATATTATTTAAATACATAAATCATCAAATTTATCATTGACTATAGTGTTTTCATTCTTAATTTCTAATCTCAACTTACTAATTTTGCATCCATTGTATACTTTGCAAGGAATATTATTTCAATAAATTGACGAAATCAAATGACATTATTATTTATGTTTAAAAATGGATTTGGTTATAAATTTAAAATTTAATTTAATTAATTTATATAATTATTTTTTTAAATAAAAATTTTAAATTCAAAATTTATCACTTATAACTTTATATCCAATTATTTATATAAACTGTTAGCATGATAAGAACTCAAGTTATATATGTGTTTGATTTAATAATAAATGTATATATTTTTAATTATTCCAATTGAATCCATCCTGTAAAAAAAAAAAACAACCTTACTAATTAAAATACATTTTATATAATCAACGGATAAATGATTCAAGTAATACATTTTTTTTATCATTTGAATTTGAATTCATTAAGAATATAAAAAAAATAAAAATTTCTTAATTCATTAAATTTGACATAATAAAATTTATTTCAATTGAGTCGGAAAAAAAAAAATATATATATATATATATATCCCTTTTGAGTACAATTCTTGCCTAATTTGCTTCTCCTTTTAATTGGTAAATTCTCATAAATCCCCAAAACAATAAAAAATAAACGAAAAAATCACATCACGAGAAACGTCACCTAATAAATTTAGTTTGAATTGTTGAAACATCCCTTTCACGCTACTAATAATCCATGTAATCCTTTTCACTGTTTTATAACATACATATCACGCAAGCTTTTAACTAATTTTAAAAAATGTAACGTCTGTCAGTCGTCATCTCTTATTAATAATATTGACTCGAGTACAATAGAGTTTAGGTACGGTGATATTTGTATATTGGTATCATATATAATATTAAAATATTTGTATTTATATTTTAGGTAATATTAAAATTTATATATTTATATAATATTTTATATAAAAATTATACGTAATAATTTACATTGATATAAAATATGAAATAAAATTTTTAATTTTATTAAATTCATATATAAATATTATTAAAATTTTAAATCGTATTATTTTTATATATTATTTTAATATTATATTATATGATCGTGTTATATTTTAAATTATTAAATTTAATAAATTTTATTTTTTATTAATTTGAAATCAAATTAGTTAAGAGAATGTAAAAAAAGTTATTTTATAAATTTATTAAATTTAATATAAATAAATATATTTAAATAAACTTTAAAAAATATATGAAACAAAACATAAAAATCACTTGCAACTAAAAAAAAAAAAGGTTCACATTGCCCCCGGTTAAAAAAAAAGGGGGCAATTAACAATTAAAATATGTAAAACACTTTGATAATTGTATGGTATAAGGTAATACTATTATTATAAAATTTAGTAATTAATGGATAAGTACCAAAAAACAATAGTAATTATTTTCATTTGAGTGATTGATAAAATTAATTGTGATGAAATTAAAATAATAATAAAAATTATTATAATTATGATTAAAAAAATTTATATTAAATAAAATTTACTAAAGTGATAAATTCAAGTTCGAGGGAATCTACATAGGCACTCAATCTCTTATTCGGTAAATCCTATAGTTATCTGATAAATAAAATCCTAATCTCACCCGCACGTATCATCCAAATCTTGTCACATCCATATCCATTGCCGCAGAGTCAAAATTTTTTAATACTCCAGACCATAACTACGTGGTCCCACAGTACTCACTTTTTCTTCGCGCTTCTCCTTTTGCCCAAATTACCCTTCTCCAAACCCATCCCTCATTCCCATTCAACAGGGACAAGTCCGGGGTTTTAAATTTCAACAGGCCTATAACCGTCCAATCAAAAATTAATTAAAATTTATTTCCCCCGTAGAGAAACGTAATCGCCGTAACCGAGGTAGTGACATAACAGTTATTGCCCCCCGAATGCGTGCGCTTTGGATACTTAACAATAAAGGCAAGAGAGGATGATCCCATGCACTCTCACTATCATCATGACAAAATCAGTTTATCTTTGATCAAATCAAAGCCGTATGACTTCAGCCGAGTCGACAGATGAATTCGACTTACAGTTGACCAAAATTGACCAAATGGACGGTAGAGATGTGGCAAGGTACAGCGATCGTTTAAGCCGCGATGCAGAGGAGACAATTGATACAGTAACATAGTACATAACGGAGGAACAAAAGCAAGTTCGTCGTTTCAAGTTCTATTTCAGAGTAGAAGAGAGAAAGAGAGTAGCGTTGACACTTACTTCAGTGTTTGGGTTTTAGGGTTTCCTTTGATCAATTGCCTTTGTTTTCTCTTCAAATTTCAGGTATTTCTCTCTAAATCCTGTTTAATTTTAGCTTTTTTTTTTGACATGTTTGTTGTTACTGTTTTGGATTTTGTTTTTACTTCACTGGTTTTTGAAAATTTTTTTAAAAGTTTTCTGTTTTGATTTTTTAAAGTTTTTTTTAGGTTTGTTCCGTACAATGCTGTTTCTTCATTAGAAGATTGATCTAGGTTTTTTTTCTTCCTGTTTTTGTTTTACACTTCTTTAACTTTTTTTTTTTTTCTGAACTAACCCTTTTTTCCATTTTAAAAAAACTGTAATAAAATGTATTTTTTAGCAGTGTGGAGCACTTTTTTCTCACTTCAGTAGGCTTTTAATAACTATTATTTTATTTTATTATTGTTTTTTATGGTTAAAGATTGTTCCTTTTTTGTCATCCCTGTGAAGTATCTGAAAAGCTGTTACATTTTTGCTTCATTTGAATGACGCCATAGTGCCTTTGGGATCAAGCTCACATTCTTAGAGGTTCCCTTGTTTTGTATTCTGAAGTTTTTTTCTTCTTTTATTTCATCATTTACTCTTATTTCTCTATTTTTGCATGTGCGTTTTTCAGCATTCATCAAGAGACGCTTTTTTGGCTGCAGATCCTCTGATTTTCTATGTAAACGTGTCTTTTCTGTGGTTGCATGGTGGCTTTTTTAGCATATTGTTGGAAAAAAATTCCATTTCTTGATGGTATATA